TGGCAAAATTGACCCTGAGTCCCAGGCATTCAAAGTGGCTGAGGAGGAGGGATCTGTGAGATAGTAGCTCGTCCTCCGACTGGGCCAGAATGAGCCAGTCGTCGAGGTAATTCAGAATGCGGATTCCCATCTGTCTCAGCGGGGAAAGAGCCGCATCCATGCACTTCGTAAAAGTGCGAGGAGCTAGGGACAGTCCAAAGGGAAGGACCGTGTATTGATAAGCCACTCCCTCGAAGGCGAATCTCAAGAATCGTCTGTGACGGGGGGCTATCTGGATGTGAAAGTAAGCGTCTTTCAGGTCCAGCGAAAAGAACCAGTCCCCTGGCATACATGCGAGAGGATCTGGTCAATGTAATCATCCTGAACGGCCGTCTCATGAGGGCGCGATTCAGGTACCTGAGATCGAGGATGGGCCTTAGGCCGCCATCCTTCTTGTGGACGAGGAAGTAATGGCTGTAGAAGCCTGACTCGCTCTCGGCTGGGGGAACCATTTCTACGGCTCTTTTTGCCAGCAAATTCATCACCTCAGCGCGTAGGATGTGTGCATCCTCGCTCCGAACCGAGGTGGAGACCACGCCGCTGAAACGCAGGGGTCTTCGAGCGAATTGGAGTGTGTAACCTCGTTTTATTATCCCCATGACCCAGCTTGAAACTCCGGGGATGGCCTGCCAGGCCTCGGCCCGCGTGGCAAGGGGCTGGATTGGTTCGAGCGGTGGGCCACCTAGGGGGGACCCGACGCTCGCAATGAGTGGAAGAGGAAATTTACTCTCATTTTGAAAATGTTTGTTTTATTTTTCCCGCTATAACAGCGGTTGGTTGTGTGTACACGATTAGAAAGGGCCCCATGTTCACAACAGTATTTTTGGTCACAAACACACTGCCATCGGCACCCGGAACTGAACGGGGTGCTTGGAGGCATAACAGAGGCCTTTTGGGGGGTGGTCCAGCTGCAGCGAGACTTGGCCCCCTCCTCTTCCTGTCCCGCAGATCAGGATGAAGCCTGAGGCTCAGGGTCCAACACTATCTTGGGTCGGGGGCCCTGGCGTTTAGCAAACTGGTAGCGTCTGGCCGAGCGGGAGCGCTGACGAGGCTCGGGCTTAGGAGCCGTGGGAGCAACTGGTGGCGTGGGCTTCGCGGGATTCTGAGTCGGCACATTTTGGGGGCTAAGGTTAGAGCTGGAGCACTTTGGCAGGAAGTGTCGCATTGCCTGGGACGACTTCTGTGCAGCGGTAAAGCGTTCAGCGAAGCCCTCAACCGCAGGTCCAAACAGGCCAGTAGGGGAAACCGGGGAGTCGAGGAAGGGGACCTTATCCGCATCCTTGATCTCTGTGAGGTTTAGCCATAGATGGCGCTCCAGCACCACTAGGCTGGTCATGGATCTGCCAATCACCTGCGCCGTCATCTTGGTGGCACGTAGAGCCAGATCGGTCGCACTGCGCAGCTCCTTAAAAGCTGCGGGGTCTGGGCCGGACTCGTCCATGTAACAGAGGAGCTTGGCCTGGAAGACTTGTAAGACCGCCATGGAATGAAGCACAGAGGCCGCTTGTCCAGCAGACGAGTAGGCTCGTCCGGCGAGAGCTGAAGCCTTCCAATCGATGGCCATGGGCGGGCAGAGATGCATGGCCACTGACTCATCCAGGGGAGGCAGTCTGTCATATCCTTTTTCTTTGGTGGTCTTTTTCGACTGATGTGAGGGCGGACGAAGAGGAGGCACGAAGGCGGGCCGAGTAGTGGGCAGGCCAAGACTTGGTGTTCTCGTCGTGGACCTCCGGAAAGAGTGGTGAAGCTTGTTGTCGGGGGGCCTGACTGCGCCCCAGGCAAGAATCACTCATCCAAGCGGCTGCGGGTGGGCTCCTCTAGCAGAGATCACTCCAAACCCAGCTCCTCCACAGCTTTAGACAGGACGCGGAAAATCCACGAAAAATGTGCAGATGGCAAGGGGGCGGGGTCGACGTACGAGCCCGACAGCTTCTCCGCATTTGAAGCGTCCAACGACATGCTGTCGTCCATGGCGTCACACTCGCTTCCTCCAAATGAGACCAGATCGCTCGCAGCCGCAGAGGAACGCTGGTCTGGGAGGGAGAAGTGGACTGGAGAAACCTCTCTAAGTGGAGAGAGTGAGGCACGCGGGGGCTCAGCCGGCATGGGCTCATTCGTCACCGAGCGCCGAGTTCCTCTGCCCCGCTGCTTTTTCCTCACAGGCTCCTGGAGGGAAGAAAGCGGGAGGGCGCGAGGGGCGGAGACAACTCATTTAGAACATTTATATTATTTAATTTAATACAAACTATAACATTTGTATTCACATATGTCTCTATTTGAACAAAAGGCTGCACATTAATGTAATTCTTAACTCTGCAGACACCGGTTGAAAAGCATTTGTTTCAGTGTAGTGACGCACATTTGCGAATCGTTCAAATTGTGTACACATTAATGAATTGCACTGGGCCTTGTTCGTTGGTAGTTGTGTGTGTGGGGGACGTGAAATGCTGTAAACTGTGAAAATGAAGTCTCAAAATCCAAATGAACCGAACAAGATCCACTCGAACTAGATGTCAATTAATGCACGTGTCACCTGATCCACCTATGCATGAGCAATTTATGGTATATTAATGCAGAACAGAACATTTTTATTCGCAAACATGTCTGTATTTGTAAAAATCACTGCACAATCATTTAATCCTGAATTCCACAGACTCAAATTGAAAGGTATTTGTTTGTGGTTAGTAAGATACATGTATAAAATGTATGCAGTAAATGGATAATTGTGCGTGCATCTATTAATCATTTTGAGCCTAATATCATCCCATACAAAATTGTCACTTCCTAATAAACTGGCACTATACATAACTAAGAAAAGTAGGAGAAGCTACTGAATATAATAATTTTCCTATATAATTACCTGCACCTCAGAACGAGCAGACGAAACACAATGAATGCCGTTATTGCTTTCGGCGGTGCCTGCTGTTTGGGAACGCAGTCGTACAACAGTTCTGGGAGGCAATTATACAGAAATACTTTGACAGACTTTGCTCGGGCATTTCCGAATGACCATAACAACATTTCCGATGCTGTGGAACAAGATCGGTCCACTGGTTAGTCAGGATTTGCCGTCCCATAGCACAAAGTCACATGACTTTTTTGATGTGCTTGGAGGAATTTATTCACAAAATGCATTTCCATCTCCCATTATTCTCATGAACCCTTTTTCGCACAAGTCAAAAACCACCTCAAGCGAGCGTAAAAGCTTTTTTGCGATCTAAGGCATTCTTATTCGAAATTCAGCATTTCCATCACTTGTTTCGGATACTTCAAAATGGGCATAAAAGCAGGGCGATTGAAACATAGCTACAGTTAGTGCTTTATAATACATCGGCATAGAGAAGGTACAAAATCAACAAGAGGTGGTGGCTTTGAGAGGAGATTGTTGCATATTTGTAAAAGACTTCTCAAATAAGTCCAAAGTGGCATAAACAAATCAAAAAATCATCTTTAGCCAATAGACAAATAGGAAAGTGAAAGCAGTAAGTGTCTCAGCTGACAACATGTTGACAACATTTTTTTACTTTCATACAAATAGCCCTCATTACGAGTGAACAGCTTACCAGAGTCCATTTTTCTTCACATATTCTTGCCTTAGCTGGAGCTTTAAAGTAAACAGTTCCATCAGCAGTTTAGTTTTTACTTGCACTGTACTTTCAAATTGTGTTTGACGGACTCACTTCCTGGTGCTTCAGCACAGCATAGTGACAAACATGGGCGTGCCAACAAGTGCAAAGCAGAAGTTTAAAGTTTTCTTCATCATAAGTTGTTTGCAATTTTTAAGTGACAGTATCTTATGTTTAAAGATTAAATCCAAGTGAAGATGACTTAAGATAACCCTAAAACCACTCTTAATAGCTACTGAAAATGATACATAATGAAAAGACATCATATAAAAATAGAACAATCCACAGCAGGAAGTAGGCAAAAATAATAGTGCATTAGTGCCTGCCACTGATCTATAATAGAGAACTGGATTTCTCATGATCATCAAATAATATTGATATTCCCCATTTCCATACATTCCATTGAATTCCATTTAATGAGAAAACATCACCTTCACCTAACGAGTCAGCGTTTTTATATCTGAAGTATCCCTGTATTCTTACAATGCAAACATGCATGTAAATTGTTGTTTGTTTAATGTCGGGAATTTCTCCTGCGTATTAAAGTTTTCATATTCATTACGGTAGTGTAAAGCCTATCTATGACAAGCAATCGATTTCTCCACTCAAATCGTCCATGTAACCGTCATTTATTAACAACTCGAAAACATAAATAGGCTTAGCTGGTAGCAAGTTGATACCGGAAGTTGATTACCGGTTGATTAATCGGTCCGAGATCGCCTGAACGAGGTGGTCTCGGCTCGATTGAAAACGAACTCTGGAGCGGTTCGGTTGTAGTGAGAAAGCAATCCGATCCAATGGACCAACGAACCAGGCTATATCACAATGTATAATGGGTAATTACATAAGTTTCGTGAAAAGCATTAGCTTTGTTGTTTTGCTGATACCTCAAAATGAACCTGTGAATGTCTGTGGGTCAGCATGTCTTTGCCATTCAAAAATTAAAGTAGGTATGATGACAAAATTTTCACCCACCCCTAAACTCAAAATTGATCACATGACTAGACAGATTAGAAAATTCTCTTTACAAAGACACCTGGATTGTGAAAATCAGTTGAGGATTGAGAAAGTTATGATATTTATAATATTAGGGATTATACTAAAATGTTATACATTAATTACAATAGAAGGTATGTGACCGAAAATGCTCATTATTCACATCTTTTTGCTTGTAACTTTCTCATTTTATCAGATATTTGCATGAAATTTAAACAGAAGGTAGAATTTTGTTAGTTCTTTCAAATGAAATCATGAACATTTACTGTTTTAGTTGGAATGGGCATCAGACCCATGGTACCTCACCAAAAACAATTATAATTGAATTAATAAGCGTTCTTTCATATTCATAAACATTTTATTTTCACAATACAAGCGAAGACAACTTTACACACCACTATTAATTATGAATTCATATTTATACACCCTGAAAATGCAAATATACATTAATATTCCTAGTCATTCATTTTCTTGTCTTGTCCAGGAGGTGCTGTCTGGCTAGACCTGGCTGTGTGTTGGGCCCCTTCCTTCTTTTCATAATTAGCTGTAAAGACAGAACATCAAATATTAGTCTAATCTATATGATTCAGGGAAATTGGACATAAATGGACTAATCAACATGGCTTGTGTTGCAGGATAGTTTGAATAAAATAGTAAATAAAATTAATAAAGACAACAAGCAAGCATTGACTTTTTGATTACATTCATAGATCCAATGAAAAGCCACTTTTAATTTTATGTACACAGTTATGAATTGTAAGGATTTGCTGTATTCAGCTAGAGCAGTGATTCCCAACCAGGGGGTACGTGGAAACATTTAATAATTTATTTCCTTGAAAATATATAATTTTTAATTTAAAAATTAATTTACTTATCCTCTTAGAAATTCCAAGAAGAAAATGCCTGAGAATTAAATGTTCAAATTAAGAAGATTAAATAAAATGATTTTCATTTAATAATCATGTGTAATTTAATCATTGTTTTCATTTAATAACCAGTTTGCAGTTATATCTAATAAATAGTTTAATGTTATGTTCTACTTTTGAAGAATCATCAACACATATGAGTGAGGGGGTACCAACTCATGGTAGGACAAAAAAAGGTCAGAGTTATACAAGACAAAAAGGTTGTTAGCCTATTCATTTAGACAGACTTAAAAGCAAGTCCTCAGTAATGAATGTATTTCGAAGTAATGTAAATATGTTACTATTATATGTCAAGAAAACCATATTAAAGTACATTGCATCAGTAACACTTTCAAGAAAAACACGGTGAGAATGAGTTAAAATCGAGACAATTTTTATTTATTTTTTAAACGATGCCTGCAGTGGACGTTCTGACAGGACGTTCGCTAATCTACCGCCACAAATGTGACTACCAAATTTCCGCGATTTATTTAAATACCTTCTCCACCATGGATTTCGATGAAATTTCGTCAGTACCAAGATAAAAGGTATATATTCATGCCCACCTACCTTTCATTAGTGTCCAGAGTTTTGATGAAGGCCGCCGACCGGTTGAAAATCACTCAAATCTTCAGACAGTTGCTGTGAACTGAAAACACCTCAGGGCTGAAAAGCTCGAAATGTCTAACGCTTCCGGGGGTTGTTCTCGACATAATTACTGTCATATTCAGGAAAAACATACTGCCACTAGGCGGCGAGGAGTGGATATTGCATGACACACATTTTAACAGTACCACGCAGTTTGGAACAAATTGTTGAGACAGAATGTTCATCGCGCGCGGTTGCTATGTCAACATACCTACTAAATGTGTTCATTTTTGTTGTTTTAGGTTAGAAGACAATGGGAAGAATTGCCATCGGACTAACCACAGCTGATGACCAGAGACAAACACACACACACGCACACACATTTAACAAAAACCCACCAATTCACTCTCTCAACAAATTAGAATATGGTGACATGCCAATCAGCTAATCCAGCCAAAACACTGAACGAAAATCACCTGATCTGAAGCGTATCAGTCACACAGCATTAGTTTTTAGGATATGTGTAAATAATTTTTTACTTCAGATTTTATCTGCAATGTTTAAAGTCTTTCCTGTTGAAAAAACCAGCATATGCTGGTTAGGTATGTTTTGACGCTGGGATGCTGGTTTAAGCTGGTCCTTTGCTGGTTTAAACTGGTCCTTTGCTGGTATATTATTAAATTAACTACCGTTGAAATCAACTGCTTCAAGATGCATGCTGTTAATGAACATTTGCAGCAACAAATAAAAACAATATAACAACATAATTACATAAACAGTGAATAATTGTACAAGGCGAATTAAGATATATGCACAAAGTATACAATTTTATTCAGATTTCAGAAAAAGCACTTTGTCATTTGTAATGCATTTGTTGAGGATCTCATCCATCTGATGTTCACTACTGTAATGAATATAATATGTATTTATTTTAAATAGGCAGGGGAAATTCCCATTAAACAAATAACCTTTTACATGCAGCCCGTTTGCATTGTAAGAATGTACAAGAAACCTTCAAAAACACTGACTCGTTAGGTGATGTTTTCTCATTAAGATGGTAAGATTTACTATTAATTCAATAGAACTTCTGGGAATACTAGGGTATACCAATATGGCGGTGCAGTGGCTTCACTTCTATGAAATCATACTCAATGAACTCAACTAGTCCTCTATTATAGATCAGTGGTGTAAACTTATAATAACGGATTACTACGGACACTTAACAGACACACGCACACAGCGGCCATAAAGGCATCAAGACGCATCAGATTGTCTCTAATATATCGCTTTAACTCAAACAACTTGTTTTCATAATCCTCAGAAGTCAAACTCAATCGAAAATAAAATACCATTAATCGCATAGCCCTAAAGTACAAGAGAGACCTTCTAAATTGCAAAATAACGAAAACACGTCAGTGATGAATGTCTTGATATTATCGCATGTACACTGTAAAATCTAATTAGTTGGGCTTACTTAAAAAAAGCATGCAAACCGATTGCCTTGAAAAAACTAAGTAAAGTGAAATAGCAATAGTATGTTGTACTGACAGATGCTTAGTTAGTATAGTTTACTTACACGAGAGTTCTAGTAACTAAAAAAGAACTGTAGGGGGTACTTGATCCTTTCATTTAGGTTTACTCATGACTTAGTATAGCTACTCACTGACTCCCAGAGTGCATTGCGGTATGAATAAATTATACAGTTGCTTTGTTTTATAGTTGTTGATTTTATTTGACAATTTTATTTGCTGTCGTGTCAGTAGCAACACAACAAAAAGAGCAAATAAAATGGCTATTGTTACAAGTAATGAAAATAAATTAAATTGAATTGTTACCATTGTTGTGGTTCACGTGCTGAATGTTTAAGTCTGTGTGTGACTTTAGCATGTTACCACACAGGATTTAAGAATTATATAAACCCAAAAAAAGCATCTCAGGGTCTTTATGAAAAAGTTTTTGATAAAGTTTATATTAATGAACACACAATTAATGCACGAATCCTTTAATTAGAAGATAAATCACTTTCTAAAAGCAATCTATTTATTACTTTTCTTCCTTTGAAATCAAATAACTCTGACTTCATAATGCATTACTACATCAACAGGAAGATAATTATAGTAACGTAAACCAAGTTCAAAGTGCACAACCAAAGGGACTGGGATTATCTCAGCAGCTGCCCGAGCGAACAAAAAGACCCACAAATGTAAGCATTATTGACGTTAATAAAGATTGTAATGAGCATAAATCATTTGTTTTATGTTACATTCAATCGTGTGTTCATATTTACGGTGATGTTATTCAAAGAAACGTTCGCAAAAAATCGCTAAAGTTTGCTAATATCATATCATTACAGACTGCACAATTCAACATATGTTCATGTCTGATCAGGGCTGTTAGAGGGGGGCTATAGTCCTCCCAATAATTAGAAATGGCTTTTTCTCAAATATTGCCAATTTGAGAGAGAGATAAAAGTTGCATGTGCGCGTCTGTGCGACTCTCTTTAATGAGCGAGTTTACTTCAAAACTGATTTTTATCCTCTTGTTGCAGGAAAATATAATGTAGTGATTCAGTTTTTAAACTGTTATTAAAAAAGTCGTGGGGCAGCGTTGACACGTTTCTTTGCTCCTGGATGTGTGAGCTGCGCGATATCTGATATGTCTGTGTGTCAGTAAGCAGCGCATTAATATAGAACGCTAATTAAAGGCTCTAATGCACACCAGTATAGGTGTATACACTCTTAAAAATAAAGGTGCTTCAAACGGTTCTTCAAGCGATGCCATAGAAGAACCATTTTTGGTTCCACAAAGAACCATTCAGTCAAAGGTTCTTTAAAGAACCATCTCTTTCTTAGCTTTTTATAATCTGAAGAACCTTCTTTCGCCACAAAGAAGCTTTTGTGAAACAGAAAGGTTCTTCAGATGTTGAAGGTTCTTTATGGAACCATTTAGACAACAAGGTTCTTCTATGGCATCGTGAAGCACCTTTATTTTTAAGAGTGTAGGATCATGACGTATGATGACGTGTAATGGTATAGTAGTGGTGTCCCAATTCTTAGGGGACTATTTTCACCCCTACCCCTTGACACTCTGTTTCAAGGGACAAGGGGAAGGGATAGGCGTAGGGGTATAAAATAGAATTGGGATTGGGCCTAAGTGTATTTCCTTAATTTCCCCAGCACTTAAAAGCAGAACAGTTAACATTCGCTTTTTGATAGTCTTTCTTAATTTAGCCCCAGAGCTGGTTTAATACCGGGTTCAGGTATTCAGTCCATCTTACAAAAGAAGCACAGAATAATCAGTTGCAAAGCTACATGACAGTAGGGCTGTGAAAATAATCGAATGTGATTGTCATGCGCATTTCAAACTCTTTCCACATTGATTACATGTGTACAGTTTCTCTCCTGTATGAACTTTCATATGTGTCATAAGGATTCCTTTCCGTGTAAAATTCTTCCCGCACTGATCACATGTGTACGGTCTCTCTCCAGTGTGGATTCTCTGGTGTGTTTTCAGATGTGTTGACTGACTGAATCTCTTGTCACAGTGTGAACACTTATAAGGTTTCTCTCCAGTGTGGATGTTCATG